CTTTAATAAAATTATTTTTATTTTATTTTATTTAAAATATTTTAAAATATTTATAAAATAAATTATATTTTTAATATACAATCTAAATTATATTTCATTTATCTCTTATAAAACCATATTTTCCGACTAAAACAAACCCAACATACCTTTCTCATTCATTACCCAACCCAAGCCAACGTATTACTACAAAAGTAACCTCAAACCCATCCAAGAAAAACTAAAAATTGCCCAAAAGCTGTTGGATTAGGCCTATTCCTCGTAAGGAAAAAAATGATAATTTTGGTTGATAGACTAGCCCATGTTTCTGCAATCTGCAGCCTTATAAGTCAAAGAAAGAGGTCTGATTTGGGGAGATAGTGAGGTAGAACCAGCAGAATAAGGGGGAGAAAACAAAGAGAATTTTTGTAGATTTTTACACTGCACAGTTGAAATTTTGTACTAGGAAAAGGTCTGTACTAGGAACTTTCTCGGCTATACAATTTCTTGATCTACCATTTACAAAGGATGCATGTTTCTGTTAATTTTTTTGTATAGTTGACGAGTCTTCCATGAGGAACTAAAACAGAAATGCAAGCAGAACTGATGATCCACCCTTGAGTGCAAAAGGACTAAAAGTGCTGCAAGTAGTTTCTCTAGAAGCAAAGGGTTTAAGTTGCTGAAGGGATAAGATCGTCTACATGTAGAGTTGATCCATCATCTTCCTCTCCAACCATCCAAGGTAATTCATCATCTAATGCCCCACGGATCATTTTAATTTGATAGTTATTTAAATAAAAGTTAATTTTTATTTTTTAACACTGGTATTAAAAATATTCAATAATTGCACTAATAAATTATGCCTATTAGAAAAACCTAAAAATAATTTTTATTTTTTTCTTTAAAAAAAAAAATTTCTTTCCAGAATGAATCATATTTTCATTTGACAACATTTTCCCAACAAGCAATCTGCCATTCAGCCCATCACCCAACGCAACGCCCCCTAAACATGCCACCTGACACAGGAGATAGCGTAGCAGTATATATATGAAAGAGCATATGCCATTATCCACTCACAAATATTCTTTCCGCAACACTAACTACACACATTCACTTTAACCAAGTTATCCAACAAAGGAAATATGAACAACAGCTCTTGCAAGAAGTCTGCAAAGGAAGGTAAAGACAGAGAGAATGATAAGAAAACAAACAAAGAATTTGAAGCATGGAGAAAGTAATCAGAATACATTAAAAACAAATGAGATCAACCAAAGCATGCTAGCTAAATAAGCATGTATGAAGGAATGTCAATAACAAAGAGCAATCCTACAATCATAACATCACTTCACTAATGCAAAAGATCCTAAATTAAGATGATAAATGACCAATCTAATCTAGCAAATGCTTTTCATCATCATAAAAGCATTTCAGTAAAGAAAATGGAAATACAGAAGAACGACAACTACAAAAGCTCAGGTTTCTAAAAAGGAACAAAAGGAAAATAAAAAGGCAAAGGACAATTGAAGTTAAAGATGATCACCTTCGTTGAAGTGGATGAGGTAGAAGGTCCAGCAAATCCAGGCCCTCCATGCTTGTGGATCACTGAGTGTAATTCTGGGGCCTAAGCAACCAGGGTTAGTAGAATCAATGAGGCACATTCTAATAAACTAAAGAAATCAATCAGAAGAAACAAATGGGACCTGTTGGTGAGTAGATTATCAAAATTATCAAATGGCACTTGGTGCACCTTCACGTTTATCTATTGTAAGTGATGCATCCACTACATAAATACAATTCCATGCATCATTAACCTAGTAGCTAAACTAACACACTTTCACCATTTGTATTTCAATCACAAAGCTTTCTTCTTTGAGGTACTAAGCATCCCATTTTTCAAATGCTGAACCAAGAGTCAGCAGTACCACTATGAAACATTTAAAATCCCCAATCCAAAAATATAACAGGAAGAGAAGAAGCTACTGGTCTGTAAAATTAATCCAAATTTCCATAACAACCTCCGCCAATGACCAAAATTATAATTGTCAACACCCCTAAATATAAGAAAATCCACAACAGAACTGAAACAGGATAAGTATATATATCAGGTTTTAAATATAAAGCCCATCTTGAACTAAGATTTCATTTAGCTAATGGCGACAATGGTTGGGTTGAGGAACCTGAGCTTGTTAAGGTGGCGGCAGTGAAGTACTTCACTAAGGTATTTCAGAATGAACAGTGGTGTCGACCGACGATGGATGGGATTCCATTCTGCAGAATTTTAGATGCACAACGAGAATGGCTAGAACGACCTTTCACCATAGAGGAAATTGAAGAGGGGCTAAATGATTGTGATGGCTCCAAGGTTCCAGGACCAGATGGTTTTAATTTTAACTTCATAAAGTTTGCTTGGAGTACAGTGAAGGAAGACTTTGTGAATTTTTTGACGAAATTTAACCGCAATGGGAGGTTAGTTAATGGTTTAAATTCTTCATTTCTGGCATTAATACCTAAAAAATTGAATCCTGAGCAATTTAAGGAGTATAGGCCTATTAGCCTGATAGGTTGTCTCTATAAATTATTGGCCAAGGTATTGGCCAATCGGTTGAAAATGGTTATGGAGGGTATTATCAGTGAGTCACAGGCAGCTTTTATTGGAGGTTGGCAACTGGTTGACAGTGTGTTAGTTCTGAATGAGGTTGTGCATGAGGTGAAATGGAGGAAGCAAGGGAGTTTCATTTTAAAAGCGGACTTTGAGAAAGCCTACGACTGTGTGGACTGGGAATTTCTAGATTGGATGATGAATAGAATGGGGTTTGGGGTGAAGTGGAGGAAGTGGATGTGGGAGTGTCTTTCAACTGCTAGAATTTCCATTTTAATAAATGGAAGTCCGACGACTGAGTTTCCAGTTAGCAATGGTCTATGCCAAGGTGATCCTTTGTCACCTTTTTTGTTTTTGTTAGTTGTGGAAGGTTTGAGTGGGCTTGTCAAAAAAGCGGAGGGTGAAGGACTCCTGAAGTGTGTCAAGATTGGAAGGGGAGGTATGGTGCTATCATTGTTACAGTTCGCGGATGACATGGTGTTTATGGGGAAGGCTGATGTTGATAATTTACGAGTTGTGAAGGCCATTCTGAATTGGTTTCAATTAATCTCAGGGTTGAAGATTAACTTTGGGAAGAGCTATTTGTATGGCTTCAATGTGTCAGAAGGGTGGGTTAAAGGCGTAGCTGATATTATGCAGTGTGGGGTGGGCAAAGTGCCTTTTACTTATCTTGGCTTGCCAATAGGAAGGAATTCAGGGAGAAGACAGTTTTGGAA